AATTTCGTTTTCAAGAACAAGTTGATAGTATAATGGCCGAAGATTTACAGCAGATTAAAGTTTAAGATTTTGTAAGTTTTTAAATTGTTTAGTTTCAAAAAAAAAATACGTAATTTTTAATTTTTTTTTTCAAGAAAAATTGTACATGAAATATTTTATTCGTGTACAATTTTAACTCCTCCTACGATAATTGTAGTAGGTCCCAAACCCAGATAAAGGAAGAGGGTTTTAACTTTTATAATTTCTTTAGTTTATAACACGCATAAAATGTACAATTTTTTTTAAAATGTAGATTAAAAAAAAAACCTAGCCTGCTCGGCTCAGCCTGCTAAGGCTTGGGCCGAGCCGGCTAGGTTTTTTTTTTGGCCGGGCTCGGCTCGAGCTGAAAAAAGATGGGCCGAAAAAAGTTCGGGCTCGACTTGAGCTTTTTTTTCTCGACTCGGCTCGTCGACATCACTAGTAATAATTAATATCTAGATGGTAAAAGTAGAACCTCACACACCAATAGTCATTTTTGATCGCCCACTAGGCTAATGATAAAGAAGTTCTACATTCATTGCAATTGGTTGCTACACTCAGTTGAGTGACATTTTGGCTGCATATAATGTAGTTGCTAGAACTGATGCCTAACTTGAATCATAAAAAATATTTTTTCTCTGTTCATCATTTTATTAACTTAATTGTTATAACATGCATACTCAAGTAACAATCAGAGGTTGAATTCCATTCACCCTGATTATGTGGTCAATTCTATAGACCCTTAAAGTTTGGAATGAACACAAGCCCTCTCAGTGTGGATGATGTCAAGAGACGAATATTCTAATGGCATTTTAGGCATGTGAAAGAACAGTCGTTGGATGTAAATAATCCAACCAATTCATGTGCATGACCAAATACTAGTTTTGATTATAATATAATGATAATATCACACTGTATTCCGGTAGATCAACAAAAGAGGATAATCATACTACAAGTACACATAGATAATACATGTATTCGAGAAATATGTTAAAGTTCAGACAACTAACGAGCTTTTCATTAATTATAAATTCCAGTTTCTAGAGAAACAATCTGTTGTTGTATTCAATCCGCCAGGACAGTTGCAAAGAAATGATTGTCCATTATCATATCCACGGACTCCATTACTATTTTCACAGCTAGAGCAAATCACAGGATAATCATTATCAAAATTAAATTTACATTTTAGTGCCACCCCATATTACCACCCGTGAGGATTAGATTCATGTCCATTGAATCCATACAACGCAGAATATGAAGTGCAATGCAATAACTACAAATTCATTTCAAACGAAGGACTGAGATCCACTGGTGTATACACAGAGAGAATATACGCTCACGCAGGGAAAATAAACTTCATAAGTCCGACTAAATTAGCAAATTGGAAAAAAAATAAAAAATAATAAAAAAATATATATATATATATATATAATAAACACAATGCAAATAAATTATTGAAAATATGTTTCGTAATTTCTACCATTTAGTATCAGATCTCATAGTGCCATCAATCAAAAAATATAAAAAAATTGTAAGGATGTCGAGAACAGATCGTAAATATCGAAAACCCTTCAGCGTTAATAAAGCAAAAATTGGAGAGGATTAACCACTCATTGGCTATGGGAGACCTGCG